CACTGAAATGTCATGTCATCACTTTTTCAAAAGCCTTCCATAGAAAGACAGAGATTTAAGACATGGAATAAAGTCTTCGCTTAATCCAACTAGCATTTAAATATTTTAATCAATAAAAGATGACAAGTGGACTGGGCTAAATGCCAGCTCCCTGAGAGCCATGCCTTTCATCAGATATAGTCTCAGTTGCACTGATGTGTTACTGAACAGTAGTAAACATATCAGAACAGTAAAAGTCCATGACACAATGTGGGAGCTGTATAAACTTAAAATCTTTACCTTCTATGGCAGCAAAATTAACAGCAGAGTAACAGAAAATTAACAGCAAGGAATGATTTCCTGAAGACTGGACTGATAATGATATATTTAAGATGCCTGTGATGAGACACAGTAGGCAGTAGAAAATGGCAACTCTGAGTTCTGTGTGTTTGTATGTGACCTGAAACAGTTAGCAGTACTGATATTTAATCATCATAACCATGATGAGGCAGAAAAAAACAACCCTCAACGTTTGTTTTCCCAATACCACTTGGCAGACGAGCATGTAGTAAGTGCATTTGCTCTAAGTGCTTATGCTTATATGAATCGCTAACATTGCTAAGTTCAGTCTGCATCCTTCAGTGCAAAGACAGACACAGAAAGGAAAGAGTAGTTTCTAGAGGTTTTCTACTAGAAAGGAAATCTGGAAATGTCTGCTTAATTAGGTAGTTATCTGGCCACCAATTCAGTGGTGCCTGAAAAATCTACTTGCTATTTATCACAAATGAATGGCAGCAAGGCAAAAAAAAAAGTGTCAGAAGTGTCTTCATGAACCATGTAAGAAAGTAATCTTTACCAGCAATACCCACATGGAGAACACTCCACTCAGCTCTTCCTTCAGTTTCTTGGCAAGATTTCAAACAAATTCTTCCAGGTCCCTTCAACACATCTGTTCCTGTTGCCCTCAAGTGGGTGAAGTAAGCACTCCTTGTCAACAGAGAACTCACGTTTTCTTCAGGCGTTAGCCAGACATGATGAACACGTGTATACCTCATGCAAGTTCTGCGAAGTGAACTATGGCCCCCACCCATAAAAGTTGATGAAAAATCAGTTTCTGATAAATTTCAGATGATAACTTCTTCCATAAAAGCACAAGTCTAGAGGGAAGACAAGCAGTTCAAAACCAACTGATCTTCAAATGAGGCACATTTATAATCTTCACTAAAAGAAACATTTGGCTCTGTTATTTTTAAGGGCTGTCATCATGCTTTATCAGATTGGCCAACCAGATCTGCTGATTGGGAGAGCAAAAATATTTTTGCTTAATAGCAAACCTTAGCTGTGATGTGGCAATGTGTTCATTCTCTTATGATATTCAGGGTGAGTTTTCCTGACACCAGTATTCTGTTTTGCACCCTGCCACATTTTTTTTTTCTAAACCAGTGATCTGGTAAGATACTGTAAGGAAAACGGATACCTGCATGATGCCATGCTGAACCAATGCTCACTGAGCAGATAGTTCTATTAAGCAACCAGTAAGTCAGTGACTGGGCAGCAACATCCCAAAAACCACTCTTGGATTCTCCAACATGCAAAGCAAATGATAGACAGGGGCCCATCTTTAGGCCATATATACTTACAGGAGATCAGGAAGCCCAGTTTCAATCCAGGGAAAACAATAACTTGTCTGAGCGGGTTTTTAAAGACTTTATTAGCCCAAGAATCTTATTTTCAGTTAGAGGCCCTATCACAAACTAAGTTTTGCCATACCAGATGTAAAGAGCCACAGCTCCTGCTCTTGGCTTACTGTTTTTCAATGAATAATGAATCTCTCATGCTGGGGATTCTTTCTGCGTCTGGGAAACTTAGAGCTTTTTATTAGGAAAATATACCAACATGGTTCATTGCACTACTTCAAGCAGCTGCTTAGTTCAATCTATTGTTTTTTAATTTTTGCACATACCTCTTACATCCACTGATAATACAAAGGCGCCAGTCATTCTTGCCCTGAATTTATGATGGTGAGATTGGCAGAGGGTCCTGGGTAGAGCGATGCTCAGGTAGTACAGAGCAGGAATATTTGTGCAATGTGACGCACTGCGGAGAGATGGGCTGATAATAGGAGTGATACCAGAACAAAGCATGTAGGTGCAACAGACTTACCATCTGAAACCTGTACATCTCTTATTTTGCCAAATAAAGAGATTTTGGTGCAAGTCTGGGCCATTCTCAAGAAAAACTGAACGCAAAGTGGTCAGTAACATCCCCGTATATAAGACAAAGTCTTTCTTGCTATCCTTCTGATAATGAAGGAAAAGAATAAACCTAAGAGTGGAAAAAACCTGCCACATTTCTACAAGTAAACAATTAAAATAGTCCTAATGCCTTGGAACAGTCTTGCCAAATGACTATCCTGGATGGTCCTTTCTCCACCTTCTGCAGCAGCAGAACAGGGTTAAAAAAAAAAAAAAAAAAAACCAGAACAAAAAAAACAACATGGGGAAGAATATGAGAACACCCTGACACAACAAGGACCCTTCAACAGTTCTTGTTCAACTTTAATCTGACTGGCTGCTACAGGCACAGTAACATTTTTATAGCTAATGTGTTCTTTTCTCTCAATAATCTGCATCAAAATGTTGTTTATACTTAGCTCAGTAATAGCTCTGGCCAACGAACACGCAGAAACAGCAAGGACAGTATAGGAATTCAGCAGTACTGAGGAAAATTCTAATCCTGCTAAATTTGGCAGCACATATCTCTTATGTAACCTGTGATTTAGAGGATAGTCTGATCATCTGGGAACATTAATGTGTTCTTCTCAGTACATTAAACAAAAATGGCAACTTTCCATTACAGATTTTCTTTTGGTTTTCACTGCATAATATCTCAGGAAAGGCATCCCATGCTAACAAGACATTTTTAGTATCAACAAAAATGCTTTTATATGACAATTCAATTATAAAAGCTAACTTTAAGTGCTTCTCTGCCAAGATTGCCTTGAACTGTGGTGCATCTCAGAGGTGCAGGAGAGGGCTTGTGATCTAAATTTAAAGCAACGGGTGTCCAAAACAATGCTTGGAAAATGGACTTTTCTGAAAGGTGATTGTTTCATCAGCAAATTTTACGGATCTCAGGAACTGAACCTCTCACAAGGCTAAGAAGGTTTGAGACCTACAGATGGAAGATCCCAAACATGTACAAACCACTAGAACAACAAACCACTGTTTGTATCCACTATTAAAAAAAAACCAAAACAAAACTTGTCTTCCTTTTCCAACAAAAATACATTCTAACATGCAAAAGCAGCTGCCTAGTAATAGGATACAGGTGCATAAAAGCTCTACTCACAAAATAATTATGAACAAATGATCATATTATTTAAATCCCTGTTGTTCTTAAATCAGTTACAAAATGAGACAAGAGTTCACTCAGTGCCAATATTTAAAGAGTGCAATAAACATTCAATTCATACACGTATTCAAGAATTACAAAGTCATACTTTTGAAATAGAGATACTGGCAAGTTTTAGGAAGACAAGAAAAGAAGTTTTATTCACAGAATAGCAAAAATCAATCAATCTTACAGAACACACCCATAAAGGGTGAAGAGTTCAGAGAATATCGGAGGATCTGCCACCTGAAATCGCCACACACGCTGCTGACAAGCACTTGCTGCAAAACTTGAAGCCAATTATAGACATTTTCTTTTCATCCATCCAAAGGATGTGCCTTAGAGATGTACATTAATATAATTCCTTGATGTGTTTGGAAACAAGTGGCCACCACCATGTGGAAATAACTTTGCAGGCTGCCAGCTATCACCAGCTAGCTAATCCACGTACCTCCATTCAATTGTTAAGGTAGGTGAAGCTTTTTAAATGAAAAGCAGCAGCATTCCTCTCTTCTTTTGGGGGACCCAGCTCATTCCACTATCCAGACAAAGCTTCTTAGTAAATAGAAAATGCCAAAAAGAATTACCATTTTAGCAACTGCAGGATGTCAACACATTTGGAACAAGAAACTTTGGTGACAAATGCTCAATAATGGATAGTTAAGGGTGACAGGAAATGTCAGGCAACCCCCTTTAGAGGGCTACTTACAGCACAACCACAGCATGGCAGGAGCTAAGAGCAAAAAGAATAACTATATCCTCAATATTCTTTATTTTCTCCCACTAACACATAGAAAGAACAGCAATTTTTCAGTCTCCATTAGTCATGCAGTTGTCTCAGTAATAGATATTAGAACAAAAGGAAACCTAAACCGGAATGTCTATTCAGAGGGAAATTCCCATTGATAATTTTTCTGTTACAGTTGAAAGTAAGTTGCAAAAGCATAAGAGACTGCCAAGAGGAGATTGCTGGGAGGAGTAAACACTTAAACAGGTCTAGTTAAAAACCCACCATGAATTGAAAGTACCATTCTTTTCCCTCAAAATGCATGCACAATGAGCACTTATTACTGTCCGTAACATAAATTGCTTTCTTATGTAGAAACTAACCAAAGGACAGAAGAAATGCAGAGCCACGCTCAGCCTCTCATGGTCAGAGAGGCTCACTTCAAGTCTTGTTTCAAACCAATGCTGAAGAGAAGGCAGCCTGTTTTGATCTTTCAAATTTGACATGTATATAAGCAATTACATCACAGAATTCAAAAGCCAGTTTCAAACCAAGTATTTAAAAGCCAGACTATGCTTAAAAGCCGGAAATGATGAGACTGAGACCTGGCATTAGAAATTGATGCTCATTATTTTATTGCCTTGGGCCACTAGATGCTATATGTAAAGCCTCCTTAGAGGCTAACAAGTGAACAGCTAATCAGTCTTACCGCCAAAGTAAGAACTGGCAGAGTAACACACTAGATTTCAGTAGTTTAACAATTTCTCATTTAACCAACCCTACTGTAGGCAGAAACAAAATGCAACAGGACAATTGCATTACAATCTGAAGAGCAATACTTAGAGAGGAGGATGTAATAGTTTGGGGTGAGAGTAATTATAAATACCTATAAGCACAGAACTAAATGAAGATACTATGAGGTGATACAAGCTCATATTTTATACATCTATAAAATACTACTATCAGACAAGCATAAGACTCAAGATACGGCAAAAGAATAAAAGTGTTAATCTCAAAGATCTGTGTTATGATGGTAACATAGTTTCAACCTATTCACTAGGATCTTCTCGTTCACTCTGAACTGTATCAGTTGCTTCAAACCATTACCTTTAAATATCAGTTAACATTAGTGCTAAAACAACGAAAATCAAATATTATATACATTTCTAGGCAAACAATCAGGCTGTCTTTACCTCTCATCTCATTCCAAGTAAATGTATTATCTTCCAGAAAGTAATATTCACAAATGATTTTAGAGAAAAGTTACTATACAAAGACACAGAAGTTAAAGTTCATAAAAAGACTAGTCAATACAATTAGACAGAAGTTTGCTTGTAGTTCTTCGTATCCAAGACCTTCTTGCCACACATTGAGCAGATGCCTATAAGCACACAAAAGGTGTGTAAATTATTTTAAAATCATTAATGTTTTTCTGCAAAAACATAGTTGCTATGTTTTTGTAAAGATCATTTTCAAAAAATTGTTTAAATGAGCTCTCATTGACAACCTATCTGTGCGTCTTCTCACCAGATATTGCAAATTCAGAAATAATAATATGACTTCTAATACAAATTAGTATTTGCAGCATATGTGTAATACTGCCACTTTAAAAAAAAAAAAAGCTCTATTTTGAGAGCATTATGATTCACAACTCTGTGCAAAGCCTCTGTAATTTGCTGGAATACTGGAAGAGAGCCAGGAAAGGCTCCCATCTGGCAAACAGGTAAAAATGGTCTATTATTAAACTTTGTCAGTCCTGTAGCCAAACTGAGGCCCGAGATGGACAGAAAGTAGCTAGGCTAAGAAAATATAGTCCCCAACAAACTGACTCTAAATGGAAGATTAACAGGTGGGGAGCTTCAGACAATTGAGAAAGTTGAGGAGAATACAGTTTCAGAGAATTAAGCTATTTATAGGGTAGTAGAAGTAAGAAACTATGGCCACCAAGAACACTTGAGAGTTAAAGTGAAGATGACCACTGATGTCCCAGAGGATTTTGACCTAAACCCAAAGAGTGGCAAGCCAGAAGACTAGAGCAGCAAAAAGTACTCTTTTCAGGGGGGCGTGTTGTCTCAATGTTTCCCTCTTCTTCTAAAGCAGAAAGCTGCTAAATGTTTTGTCTGGTAGGGCCACATCTTGTTTTACAAGATCATTCATCAGCAGACAAAAAAAAAACATGTCGAGTGGCAACTATTCCTGTTAACTCTCTCCAAATCGTGTCCTTTCATATATTGACATCATGCAACCGGACACATATCTAAGAGTCCATTAGGAAAAGAACAGCAGGGAACATGCCACATGATTCACTTTGGAGAGAAAAATCCAGCCCACAGGCTGTTCACTTCAGGTCTAAATTGAGGAGTAATTAACTTTAGATTGCCTCTCAGTTTCAGAGATACGCAACAGTTGAAGCACTAAGCCATATGACTGCATTTGCTTCAAGAAACATGCCACAACCACGTCTTTGATGGTCAGAACTTGAACCTAAAGCACTTAAGAGTTCTGAATTTTATGAAAAAAACAAATTCAACCTAGAAGGATACACAAGCAGACAAAAGACGAAATCCTGAAACCCACCCAAACCAGCCATAAGTTTAAGAAAGAGAACAAAGTTCTACCATATGGGATTCAGGCAGCCATCTGGTGAGCATCTAGCAACTAGAAAAGGCAACCCTCCTACAGCAGGCTGCTAAACCACTGACTCGGTGACACAGTACACATTTATAGAACAATTAAAGTAATTTCATAAACAAAACTTACTACTGGTTAGCTGTAGCTCTACGTTTAACAATTGGTTCACCCTATGTCTGGGTGCTATGTGGATTCTTCAGTATTAATAATGTAGTTAAGTTCATGTTGGTTTTTTTTCCCCTCCAGGAATTACAAGTTTGAGCCCTTTTGCTTACCTACTTAAAATCACAAGACTAGTAGAAGTTTTATATCCGTAAGGCTCTCCATCAAATTTGCTTGAAATTGATCTTTTTCCCCTCAGGAATTTTTGAACAGTTTTTAACAATACTGAAGACTTATTATGAATATAGGAGATAGAAAGCTTCCAGCTATAAGCAGAATTTCAGTGCAGTGATTCACACATAATATATAGAGCCTTTCTGTATTTATGAGTTATGTACTGCACAGTGCAATATCTTGCTTTCTAGGGACGATGATTGAATTCTTCTTTTTCATTTTTCAGTTTCACCTTAAGCCAAGCTTGCCTTACAATGCATCGAGTGTGTTCACAACTGGACCAGAGACTCCTTTTAGAGAAATGAACCTTTCAATGGCTTATGTTAAGCCACTGAATTCGTAAGAATACATGCAGGTACAAAGACAACCACGAGCATGATTTGCCTTCAGAAACACTTTCTTAATTGCTTTTACAACTCAATTTATTTTTTTTATTTTTTTTCTTTGCCTTTTATTCCCCAGGTATACTACTTTTGTTAAACTAGCCTATCGCTTTACCAAGATCAGAAGTTGGATTTTTGGTTGTTTTGTGGGGTTTTTTTGAGGGATGGATGGGTCTGGGGTGTTTGGTTTTTGGTTTGTTTGTTTGTTTTGGGAATGTTTGTTTGTTTGTTTGAGACCACTATTTAGAGTTTTAGATTTAGCTATTATAAAAAGGGGAGAGGGGAGAAGGGAGAAGAAAAGGGATTGCAACAAGCAATTGAGTTTTACAAAGTCTAATTTTTTTTAAAACTGAGAAAAATCAAACTTGCTAGATGACAGTTTTCTATACAATTGCTAAGATTAAGCTTACAGTTATTCTTCCAATTCTACTGCTTTACATATCAGAAACCTTCTAAAAGAAGCAGAATCACAGAATAACTTAGATTGGAAAGGATCTCCAGCAGTCTCTAGTCCTACCCCTGCCCCACTCAAAACACGGCCAACTTGGATGAGGCTGGCTCAGGGCTTTTCAAGTCAAGCTCTGAATACTTCCCAAAGAGATTTCACAACCTCTGTGGGTCCCTGTTATTACAATATTTGACCACCCTCACAGTGAAAATTGCTTTCCTTATACATAATTAGAATTTTCCATATTCTAACCTGTATACATTGTCTTTTATTCTATTACTGTGCACCTCAGAAGAGTCTGACTCCATCTTCTCTACACCTTCCTATTAGTAGTTGAAGATAGCAATTAAATCTCATCATAGCCTTCTCTTTGTAAGGTGAAACAAATTCAAGAGTTCCACTTGCTCTCTAATTTCAAACCAAACTGGGGTAATTTGGTACTCAGTGAAACTCACCTTTTTTGTATGCACATCCTTGACAATAGTGAGACCCTGGCTGATGGACAGAACTCTTACAAATCCGACATATTGCAAATTTGTTCTTTCCATAAGGATCAAATCTGGGAAAAAGGAGAAGTATTTTATTATATTTTATATACACCTTGAAATAAAGCATTTCCTCTGCCTCATCCTAAAGAGTTTAAGCCAGAGGGCACTGACAGAAACTCCAGCAAAAACTCCTTAGAAAAGGGACATACACGGATTATTTCCAATAGGCTGCACAAAGTCTACAGAAAAGCTCCCACTTTCCCCACTAGGAGAGATTTCTTGCATTATGGAAAACTTAACAAAACTTAACAAAAGCACAACTAAAAATGTGTCTTTTTATTAAGATACTAGACTATTTTGAACTATTTTTGCCCCCTTGCATAACTGAACATCCCTCAGACATTAAGAAAATGCTCAAGAGATTGTACCGGCAATCTTAGCACAGAAAATAAGCCTTCCTGACTCCTCTCTTAACAAAAGCATCAAACCCTAGCAATTTTAGTGAGTACTGCAGTAAAATAGTTCCCCACACTCTATGATTCAGCAGAAAGCACCCATGAAATACGTATGGATATACTTTTACCAACTAATCAAATGTCATAATCCCCACAATTTTTTTTTTTTTAAAAGGTGTATTTTGGACAAGCTTTGAGCAGTTGCCCAGGTATGCAGGAAACAGGCCTCAGTTACAGCAAACTGACTTTTTTAGCCAAGATCAGTATTAAATACTAACCTTGCCTTCTTTGAGGTCAATACCTTGTTTTCATTTAACTTGCGGCCACCACTTTCTACAAAAAGAATAAAACCATAAACCAATAAATTTCCCAGTTCCAAGCATACTTAAAAAAGCTTAGTTTAGAGCTTTTACACATGTGCAAATAAAGTCACAAAGAGATAAAACATATAGCACAGCATTAAAGCACAGGACAACAGAATACTTTATACTGTGCTCCGTTTGCGTATCGTCATTCCATACAAGGAGAATACAGACAAGTTCAATGCTGAAGAGCTCAGGGTAAATAAATTCCCAATGCATTAAATCAGCATGGGAGGGAAAAATTTACCGCATTAACTATTTCAAATTTTAGCCTTAAGATCGTAAGATAGCTCCAGTGCCCAACTGGCTCTAAGATACCTGAAAAACAAGTGTTAAACCTCCCCAAGATTACCTGTAGTGTTTCTTGCACCATCTTTCCACGTATCAGGAGTGATTACCGTACCGAGTTTCTTCTCACCTACGTAAAGAAACATCACAAAGGAAAAAATTAAAACTACACTGCGTTAATACTCACAACAAGCGCTGCCTGCGGGAGAATGAGACCTCACACACAGACATTCCCGGAACCGCCACCTACAGCCTGCCCTATACAGCCCAGGACCCGTAGCAGCTGCTGCTGCTGCTGCTGCTGAGCTCAGGGGACGCCCGGGACCCCCGAGGGCGAGGGCAGGAACAGGGGCCCCCCCGCTCTCCCAGGCCGCCCACACTCACACTTCTCGCACACCATGGCGGC